TTCTTAGCCTCCTGACACAGTCTTAAAGAGAAGGCTGCCTTCAATCATCTGACCATACAAGTACCATACACTGTGCACCAAGAGGTGGCATCGGAGGTGTATTTCTCATGAGAGCTCCCTGCATCCTCAGCACACTTGAGCCAGTGCTACAGAGGCAAAGGGAGGCCCGTAGAGGTTATGTGATGTGCACAAGTGCACACAGCCAGGAAGAGGCAAGGAGAAAGAGCAGGACCCAAAGGCTCTGGGCCATGGCCAAGGAGAAGAGGCCAGGGCTCATCCTAGGGCCTCTGAACAGCTCTCCAGTAAGAGGAGCTGAGGTCCAGGACTATCAAGGCCACAGCATCCAGGAGTGGAAGGGGCTCTGGGAATCCTCAGAATGGCAAGGAGAGGACCTGATCCCCTGTCCTAGCCCCAGAGGGGCATGTTCTGCCTGCACAGCATCCCCATCCCACCCTCCAGGAAAACTGGTATATCATGGTGGGAGGGCTTCTCTCCAGTAGGATCTCGGGGGCCAAAACCTAGATGTGGAGCCTTAGAAGACACTCCACTCTGGCCACAAGAACAAGCATTCCGTCAGTCCCAGCTCTCACCATGGGGCTTGAGGTGAGGCCCAGGCCACAGCTGAGGCTTGGATAACAGTGAGTGTTGACAGCCTTCTGGCCCAAAGACCATGAGGGCCCTTTTCACAATGGTCACCACAAAGCCCATTTCAGCATTCTCTCAGGAGATTTAGCTTCCTGGATGTCAGTGAATAGAGTGAGCAGTGGTTTCAGAAGGCAAACATCCTCAGGCTGCTCTCCCTGGGCTGTGCTAGAATCTGCCCAGAAACGGGGGTACATTCAGGTGGTTCATGTTCAAAAAAAACCTCAAGATGGTAACTGATGGCATAATGGAAATAAACAACTCTCTAACTGGTGCCCAGGGATGTATGTTGCCCTTTGCATGCCCTCAGCCTTTTATAAGCTGTGTGACTTTGGTCAAATCACTATTTGTCTCTATGCCTCATTTTCCTTTATAAAATAGGAAGTGAAACCATACCTCTTCCCTGGGTCATTGTGAGGATTAAATAAGGGGAGGGGTGCAGTGTTTGGCACACAGTAGGCTTTCAGTGAAGGCTGACTCCCTGTTGTTCTTCTGCCCACTCTGTGATGCCAAAGCAGAGCACATGTGCAAAGTTGAGTGAGTGGCCAGAGGCAGGGCAACTCAACCCTCCACATAATAATGCACAAACTGGCCCTGAAATTCTGCAACCAGCCCTGGATAACTGCAGTCCTAACCAATGCTGAGCCCATGCTGGGAGTGGGGACAGAGAGACAAAGGAAACCTCGTCACTGTCCCCCAGGAAGCTCAGGGCTTGAGGGAGGGACACCTACTCAGTGGGATTAGTGTGACAGCGGGCAACCGAGGGCCTGGGCAGGTCCCACAGGCTGAGACCCTGGCGGAGGGGTCGCTTGGACTAAGTCTGAAAGGGATAAGTAAAAGATGAGTGGGTGAAACTGGAAAGAGTCTAGGAAGAAGGCTCAGCATGAGCCAAGGCGCAGAAAGGAGAGAAAGGGTGGGAGGATACGGAACATGGTGCTTGGAGCTACTGTATGAAGACAAAGATAGTGGAGCATCTATCTGACCAGCAGGGTAGTGCAGAGTTATAGCGAGAGGTTGATGAGCACAGCCCAGAGACTCATCGTTTTGATTTCCCAGAGAGATCCCAGGTCTCTGGGGAGCGCTTAAAGCCTATTCCTCCAGCCGCGCTTGCAGACGCGCAGCAATGGACGCTCCTGCCCTTGCGGCGGTTGGTCGCTAAGCAACAGGCCCCTCCCCCGCGGTGGTCTGGCCTCCACGCGCCCTCTATTGGCGGCTCCCTGCCGGTGCACCGGCTTCATGGAATGCTGCTAGCTGCCTTCCACCCTGTTCTCCCAACTCATAACCAAGTCTTGGTCACTGAGATTGGGCAATGCTGTCCCTGGCTGACGGTCTCTCTGCTTCCAATCTTTTTCTGCATGGGTCTGGCTGACTCCACCCCTACAGGAACTAGCTAGGCTGGGCCAGCCAGTGGAGGAGAAGCTGGAGAGGTGGGCAGACAGGCTGTGCTGAGAATGTTGATCTTCAGAGCAGTAGGCAGCCATGTAAGATATGTGAGCAGGGCAGCAATATAAGCAGATCTGGTGTCTAAGTGCTCATGTTGAAGCTGCTGGAGGACTGCCTGAAGAAGCAGGGCACTCAGGGAGCATGGATTAAATTGACTGGAAAGGCTACAGGGAGCCGGGTTCCACGGAGCCCACCAGGGTAAGTAACTATGGTGAGAGTATATAGGGAAGGACAGACAGGCTCTCAGCCCTTGGGGTTCACTTGGTGGGAAGGGAGTTTGGCAGGGTCCCACCCTGCCCTATGGTTGGCCTTTTCACCCCAATTGGCACCCTCAAAGCTGCAGCAAAGATGCTGACTGGTCTCTGAGATTCATCAGTACACAGGCCTACAGAAGGACTGAGCAACCCTCCCCTTCCAGGGGTCCTGTGGACGTGGATCCCTACAGGACAAGGGGACACTGCTGTTCTCCACAGAACGGAGCTTCCCACCTCAAACCACTCCCCCCCGCCCCACACACACTCCAGGCTCATTAAACATGGTCTGGAATACTGCCAAGTCCATGTGGTCACAGACTGGCCTCATGCTTATGTGTGCTGATCAAAAATGGGAAAACAGCTTTACAGATGAATGAAGTTTGGTTGAAAAATCTTTCAAAGCATGGGCTCTAAAATAAAGGAGAATGATGAAAAATTAGGGTCACTGATCCAGCCCCATCTGGCCATACCCTCAGAAGGTCAGGGTCCAGTAAGGGCAGGGTGAACGAGGCCAAGTGGAATCAGAAGCTGTGTCTTCTCCCATGCTCCTGGGCTTCCTGCGGCCCTGTGGACCCAGGGGCAGGACCAGCAGTGGGATGGCTGATAACTTCAGCCTCAAAGCCAGGCTAGTCCAAAAGCACTGCATCCTCGGATCCAGACTAAGACCAGTGCTGACACCTGCAGGCCTCAGTAGGCCAGGTTCTGCTCTGCTGAAACACTGTGTGTAAAGCAGAAACTGAAAAATTCCTGACTGTATCTGCTTCAATACCTTCCAACAGAGCAGGCCTAGGCCCTCAAACCTCCCAGTCACCACACCGATGTTGAGAGAATAGTTAGACTATCACTTCTCAGTGTTCTTCCCGCCATCTGTCCTAAGACGCTGGGCTCACAGGCAACGCAGGAAGCAGCTCAGCCTCTTCTCCTGGGTGCTAGTCCCTTCCAGACAGAAGAGAACGCTGTCCCTCATCCTTGAATCCTTCACTCCTGGTCTCTTACCCTTTCTCACCCTGCTGCTGGGGGTGCCTACCTTCATCTAACTCATTCTTCCCTTGAAGACGCAGTCAAAACCCGAACTTCTCCAGAAGGCTTTCTCTGACCCTTTCCCCCACCCACAGCCCCTCTACCTCTCTCTGTCCCATCGCAATCCCACTGGACGATTTGTCACACCAGCTTCCATGCTTCTCATGGGCAGAGCTGAGTGCCAGGCCCTAAGTCCAGCAGAGATGCAGGATGTGTTTTAAATGACAGAGAAAGTGAAAACAAGGGAAGAGAACCAGGACTCTAAAACAACAAAATGGGATCAAGTTCTGGTTTTTTAAAATCATGTCACTCTGCAGGGACCATGCAAAGAGCTGGGGAAGAGAAACTACAGAAAATCTTTACATTTCATGTGTCTGCATCAGATTTCCTTAAAGGGTCTCTACTGCTTAAAATAATAACAGTGAGGTGGGAGGGAGGCTCACAAGGGAGGGGACATATGTATACCTATGGCTGATCCACGTTGATGTATGGCAGAAACAACACAATATTGTAATTATCCTTCAATTAAAAATAAATAAAAAAATTTTTTAATTTCGTAAAAAAAAAATAACAACAACAAAACTGATAGTAAAAAACCTGCCAGCCTTGCCCAAGCCTCTCACTTGATAACTGAGATAAAGGGAAAGTCTTGCCTAAGTGCATAGAGAAAGCAGGCTCTCAGGCCACGAATCCCAGCCACCGCCTCCCCTTCCCAAGGCTGTATTCCATAGAAAGTTAAAGAGAGCGTACACCTTCCACAGGGATTTCCACTGTTCATTTTATTTCAAATGTCAGCTGTCCCCAGAGAAGAAACTGATGCCACAGGTAATCTGGAAGCACCATCCTATTCTCTGAGAACTGCATGAGAACTTACAAAAAGCTTAATTTTTAAAGCTAGCAATCACTATAAAAACATGAAATAGTCAAACTCTAATGTTTTTTTAACCATAAATGATGTCATAATGGCTTAAACTTCATGGGGGAAAAGTGAAGCAACCTCAGAGCCTACAATGCTTGTATTTGATAGTAAAGCCCCTAGAGAAGGGGCGAGGGGCGGTAGCCAGGCTGACCCTGGGGGACAGAGGAGTAAGGAAGGATGGAGCAGAATCTGTTCAGCCCCCTGGTCCTAGCTGCTCCCGCTATCCACTTGGATGTGCCGGAAGCCTGATGTCTGTGCTGCCTCCTGCTGGGGACCAGACAGAGGCAGCAGAAGCAGAGGCTAAGGTAGACAGTGCCTCCTGTCCTGGAGCAGGACTTGAGGAAATCAAAGGCCGTCTCTAGGGGTGAATCTGATTAACAGCAGCCAACATAGAGCTGGTTAAATTCATTCCTAAACGTGAGCTCCCCCCAACCCCCCACATCTCAGAGCTCTGGCCGCGCCCTCGTGACTTCATCCTCTGAGTTCCTTTTCAACCCCCCATGTCTCAGGCTTGAGAGAACCTTAGCAACCACACTCCTTCCTCCTATCTTGAAATGGGAATTAACTGCCACCTTACTCTTATCACTACCCTTCCTCCCTACATATCACTGAATAGAGACAAGAAAATCATTGCTGCAAGCGCCCTCCCCCCACCCCCACTCCCCCACCCCCCCACCGGCCTCTGCACCAAGGCCCCACGCGGCTGGCCTGAGGGCCTGGGCCTAGTCGGACTGCTCCTGGGATGATGGCTGGCTGGGCTCGATCGGCCCCTCCATATCCTGGTCATCTGTGAAGGACAGAGAAGAGGGGCTGGATTGAGAAAGAGGAAAAATCACCTGTTTTCACACACAAGTTTTCTACAAGGCATCCTCATCATTGTCAGTCCCTATGGAGAATTAGTTATTCCCATTCCTACTTTTAATTTGCTAGGGGTCAGGAGACTAGAATTCTAGCCCTGGCCAGATGATACAGACTCAAGTTCAGACTCCAGCTCTGCCTGTCACAAGCTGGGTGGCAGGAAGCGAGCTACTCCCAGCTCTGAACCTCAGCGTCTCCTTCTGTCCGTTAGATGATGCCTACCATGCAGCATCATGGTTGGCTTGGGGATTAGGGGCAACAGTGAGAACAATCTTTTACCAATGCCTTCATCATTTTAGGTTTTGTTTAATCCTCAGGATGACCTCATGAGGGAAGGGACCCTTAATTAGTTTGCTCTTGCAGATACTGAAACTGAAGCACCACGGAGCGAATGAACTTGCCCAAGGTCACACCATGGGTAAGTGTTGGAGCCAGGACTTATTATACCCAGGCTGTGTGGCACCAGGGCCATTGTACTGCAAGTCACACTGTACCGTATCCCCAGCTAATAGATCTAGGCATCGGACATACAACAGGCCTCAGTTTCTTTTCTTAAGGAGCCTCAGGGGAGGACTGGAAGGGGAAAAAAATCCTAGAACCTTTAAAGCTTTAAGGGCCCTCAAAAGAAAACCCTCACAGTAACCCTGTGACAGGGCCCACTTTACTGGTGAGAAGACTGAGGCCCAGATGAGGGTGTGAGTGCCCAAGATCACCTGGTGCACCAGTGACCGAGCTGTGAAGGCCAGAGTGGCCTGAGCCAGAGGAATCATTCCCACCAGCCCCAGGCAGGCTCAGCACACGCTTTTTCCCCAGCCAGAGAGGCCTGGCACTTCTGGTCTTTCAGGACCACATGCATGCTATCCTCCACATCTTTACCCACAGGAACTGTTAACGTGAGGAAATTGGCATTGAAGCTGGAGCCAGACAGAGAATTCTGTTGAAATCCGAGCTGCACCATGTACATATGTGAGACCCTCTCAGGGTTCTATCAGTTTCCTCACCTGAGAATGGGGACTCACCTCCCCTAGATGCTCCTGTATGGAATTTAGAGAGGGGTTCCAGGAAAGAGTTTCCCCAGGGCCCAGCACATTGAAAATCCTATCCTCCATTTCCCTTCCCTCCACGTCCACTTCGTAGTAGGACTCCCTTCCCCTAGAGCCCTCCTGAGTCCCTCGGCAGCTGGAAGACGGGGGCTCACTCACCGATGTTCTCCTGGTCCATGTCAGACAGAATGGTCAGCGAGAAGCTTGCTGGAGGCGGCGATGGCGGCGGCGGCGGCGGCGCGAAGAAGTGGAGCGCAGAGAGGAAGCCAGGCGGGAGGAAGTGGGGCTGCTGCGATGGCGCCAGCGGCGGGTAGTAGCTCGGCTGGAAGTCTCCCATGGGGTCCGCCACCTGCGGGGCACACACAGCAGACAGTCAGAGGGCAGAGGGTGAGCCAGGGGGCTGATCCCACATTCATGGCCCTGAATGGGGGCTCCCTGTGGAGGCTATTCATCTCTGCAGCCCAGACAGAGGAGTCCAGCAAACACCTGCCAGATGACTGGGGGCAAGGAGGAACACAGGCGCGACGCAGAGAAGCCTGGGGAGCAACTGCATCTGAGTATGTCCACAGCCTCATTCTATCCTGACGACCCTAGGAGGGAGGGTCTATTAACCATCCTCACTGTAGTGACAAAAACCAACATCAGTGAGATGAAGGTACAGGCCCAGGCCAGAGCTGGGGAGTGGCAGAGGCAGAACAGAATCCCAAGTCAGCCTGACCCCACTGCTCTGCACTGGAGAAGGGTCTGAACTCATCCACCTACTTGAGGTCCCACCTCTGGCACATGTGATGACTTAAGACTCCAGCGTCGCTGGGCCTGTGGGCTCCTCATTTTAACCAGCCAGTACAGTGCAGCTGTTACCAAGGCAAGGGAAGCTAGCTGACCTCAGGAAAAGTGGCTTCAGCCCTTCTGTGTTTATGTTCCTTCTTCAGAAGGTGAAAGCTAACCCCATACCACAGGACCCCAAGGCTGGAATAATAGGATGTGGAGGGGTGATGACCACACAGCTCAGAGCTTAACTGAGAAAGACATGAATGTAACAGAAAATCATAAATTTCAGGTACAAGTCTTATTATTTACTCCTCCATCCAGGTACTCCAGAACAGCACTTCACAGGCTGTGTGCCAGAGAAATCCAGTGTCCCACAAGATATTTTTAAGTGCTCTTAGAAGTGTTCTTTGTCCAGGGAGTTTGAGAAGCCCTGAAAACTGCCCCCACATCGGTGACTCACACATGAGTCTATTAAATCTGCTTACATTAACCCAGCACTTCCTAACTTAATTTGACCACAAGGAAGGGAAGAAAGCCCACTTCTGAGTACCCACCATGTCACAGACCAGACACTTTATATGCATCCACACCTTATGGCTAGAATCTGTCAACAGTCTGATGCTATAAAACTCTTACCCCCATGCCACAGACTAAGAACCTGAGCAAGGTCCTCAGAGGTTGGGTGACATGCCCAGACCATGTGGAGAGGAAGCAGCGAAGCTAGGCTTGGTCTCCAAGTCTGTCTGATTCCAGGCCTGTGCTCTTTGTGGGAAGAGAAAAGAGGAAGCAGAGAAGCAGCAGGTGGGACAGGACAGGAAGAGAAGGCGGCTCAGGGAGTATTTGGGAGGCTAGGCAGGGGCAGCAGGACAAGGATGAAAGCAATTCATAGGCTCTTGGGTTTGAAACAGCTTCACAAATGAATGGGTGATCCCCTATGCAGACGTGAAGGGGGTAGGAAGGGGGATTATTAGTCTTTAATTCCAAGCTGCTCAGCCAAGTCTCTCCCTAGATCACAGCTCCTGCCTGGGGCTGGTGGTGGCAGCTCAGGCCCAGATAAACCAACTGAGATCACACTCCTAACAAAGGCCGTCTGGCAGGCCTGTCAATCAGAGCCCTGCCCTGGACGCCAGGCCCCGGGCTTCTGTGTGAGCAGACGGTGGGTGTGTGCTCCATTTGGCCAAGACCCCTCTCTTTGTGTGGAGGCTAGAGATGCCGTATTCTCCCTGGGCTGCAATGGGGTGGCCAGCATCCCACCCCCAATTTCAGGCAGGGCAGGGGGATGGTGAGAGTCAGAGTCATGTTTGCGCAATACCTCTGTCCTGCCTCTGTCACTGACCAGTTGTGTAATCTGAATCCCAGTCCCTTGTTCCCCACTTCGGTGACCCTGGACAAATCCATAACTCCTCTGAGCCTTCTTCCTCCGCTCTACAATGAGGAAATAACATGTACCTCGAGGGCTTACATAAGGGCCAGTAGGCACCCTGTAAATTATCAAGAGCAGTGGTATTCAAATTTTCCCCCTTGAATGAATGGAAAATGATTTCTGAATAAAACTTTAGAATATCTGGATCAGAGGAGATGCTGCTGCTGGTGCACAACTTCATTATGTTAATGTCAAGCTTTGGTCCCTTCTCTTACTTTCTACATTAGACCAAAGAAGCCTGCTCTCTACTCACTCTTCTATACCCTCCACCCAAGGCAGCATCTCTGTAACACACAGGGTTGGGCTTGTAGCTAAGGAAGAAAGTAAAGGTAATAGTGGTCCACACTTCCCTGAATGTGAGCTGCATCTCTGTGAACTCCTTCACAGGTCCAGCCTTATGGGCCAAAGTCAGGACTGGTCACCCAGGCCTCTCGCTATTCTGCAGTTCTGATGGCTCTCTGGGGTTGCCAAAAGGGAGAAGGATGGAAGGAGCTGGCAACCAATGCTGCAAAAGCTGGTCACCTGACCCACATCTCACACAACTCTTATATATCCAGAACTTCCAGAACTCAAAACTCCAGGCTCAAAGAGCATACCAGTTAGCAACTGATCACTGATCTTATAAAATGATTAAATTTCACCCTTTTTTTTTTTCAACAAATATCTCCTAAGGTGACCAGTGTTTGGGGGAAGTCTCCATATTTTTCATGACTAAGCTTAAGTGCCCTATCCTCTTGAAAGCCCTCGGCCATCTGAAGTGGGCCATACCTTTGCAGCACGGTACCTATGTCTGCTCCTGACTCTGCCCTCAAATGTGTGGCTCCAGGAAAGTGCTGTTTCCTATCTGGTACCTAGTATTGACTGGCATTCCATGGATCAAGGCTGGTGGTCACTCAAGGTTCCCGTGTGGCTGTTCCCCAGGTTTATCTGAGATGTGTCTGCATTTCTTTTTGCCTGAGCTCCCGGAGTCTCTCAGCCCACATCACAGCCCAGGACAACTTGTTCACACGGGCAGAGGTGCACAGCGTACAAGGTCAACACTGTATCCTTCCACCCACTGCCCATGTCCTGGTGCAGAGTGAGCACAATGGCTGGCTGCCCGGGAGAAGGTCTGTTAAAGCAGCCAGGGCAGCTTAGATAGGGAAGAACCTCGAAAATATCAGGGATGGGACTCACCAAGCCTCCTCCATTGTAGTGGCTATAGGACACATGCCCGAAACCCTGCTGCAGAGGGGGCCCCATGGCTGGGGACGCACCCTGGTAGCCCAGCGGAAAAGGGCCGTAGGGATGCATGCTGGAGCAGCTGGGGTACAGCTTGGGAGGTTCTCTCTCCAGGTACTCAGACCCCACCACAGAATCTGAGTTGATGCTCAGAGGGAGCCCTGAAAAGACACGCAATGAGTGAAGTGTTAAAAACACATGGAGCTAGGAAAAATGGCACCATATTATTGTCTGAAGGTAGCAGTATAAATAAACACTCATATCCATTATGCTTTTGATCCTTCCTGCTTTTTAAACCCTTCAACCATGTTCTATTGCCCTTAGCAAAAGTCCTCGGCCCAGCCATGAAGCCCATGCAGGCTAGGTTCCTGCCTTCACTCCAGTCTCACTGTCTGATAACTAGTAGCTCCTTCTTTCTCCTCCACCTCAGGGCCTCTGCAGATGCTGTCCCCTCAGCTTGGAAGGCTTTTTCTCCTAACCCCACTTTGCCTTCTTGAATCCTCAGTACTCAGCTCCTAATCTTCCTTCAGACCACAGCTAAACCACTGGTTATTAGAGTTCTCGATACACCAATCTGTGAAGTCCTTTTCTTTCACAAGGACAACATCCTTGAAGGCAAGGAGCTGACTCACCCCTCTTCACCTTTTCATCACTAGTATCTGGCACACAGTGCTCAGTCAGTGGAACAAAGAAGGGCTCCATATCCGTAGAAAGGTATCCTTCTCCTAGAACTGCTTTTCATATCTGTCTTCCTCATCTAGTTCTCTAGGGACCTATATTTTCCTAGAACATCCAAGAAGGCAGAACTGGCCTTCGGAGAGCATCAGGCCAATCCCCTTAGCCTACAGAGGGGAGAAGCTGTCACAGAGGGGAGAGGCTGTCGCAGAAAGGAGGAGCTTGCCCAAGATTACCAAGTGAGCAGCCCCTCGGCGTCCTGACTCAGACTTGTGTTCTTTCTACACTGCCATAGAGAAAACCAAGAAAACACGTGTCTGCACCCAAAATGAGCCCCTTTTTAAAAGTCTCAAATCCACATGTGACTTGAAATTATAATAGAGTTACAATACCTAGGGAACAATGTAATTTATGCATGTGGAGGGAGGAGAGAAAAAACAGCAACAACGTCTCAATAGACTGTTCTCTTGTAGGGAGCAGAGAAGAGGTCTCACTTCCACTATGCCTGGGAAACAGGTGGGAAGAACGCACATACACACCATCAAGCCAGAGCACGGCTGAGCAGCAAGCTGTTTAGGGCACAGAAGGTGGGGGAGGGGTGGGCGGAGGGACGAAAGCGCAGTCATAATGCGCTGCCCCACCCACGGATGTTCTGGGGGAGGAGCTTCCAGCCCCAGAAAATGGTGGGAAGAGGTGCGCAAGCGCAATATGGCCACCCTCCCGAGATCCTCTCTGTTGGGAGGAGGAGCCTCAGTTAAGCGGACTGGGGGCCATTTTTTTTTTCCTGCGGCCATTTTTTTTTTTCCTGCGGCCATTTTTTTTTTTTTTGCGGCCATTTCCCCCCGCCGCCAGAATGGAAAAGCAGAGACTATAGCTAAATGTTTTTAAAAATTACCCCCCAGAACCACCCATTCCTTTCTCTCTTTTTACCTTCTTGCAAAAAGGCACCAAACCCAAATGCCTACTCAGAAAAAGGTACCCCAAAGCAAGATTCCCTCTAGAAAGCATCTTCCCACCCCCACCCCAAGGGCCCATAACCGCGGCTGGCCTGGGACACCAGAATCGGGGGAGCGGGGAGGCGGCAGCCCAGAGAGGAACCAGTAGCGGGACAACAGCTCGGGGCCCCGGGAATCTTACCGAAGTTGGCGAACAGCGGGCTGGGCACAGGCTGCGGCGGGCTGGGCACAGGCTGCGGCGGTCTGCGCAGCTCCAGGCAGCCGGGGTAGCCCCGGCCGGTGGCCTCCGCCGCCAGCTGGGGCTCCAGAGAACTGGGCCTGGCCCTGGCGGCTTGTTCGCTCAGGCGGCCGCCCAGAATGGGCTGGAAGGCACTCATGCCGGGGCTCCAGCCCCGCGGGGGCCTCTCAGGGAAGCAGGCGGCCGCTTGGCCCGAAGGGCCCGGCTGCGCGTCTCCCGAAACGGCAAGCGGAGGCAGCGGGTAGAACCCTGGGCCCGGGTTGGCGGCTGCGCTCCCGGAGGCCAGCTGGGGTCCCTGTGCGCACAGGGCCACCTCCTGCTCCTCTTCAGGGGCCTGCTTCTTGAGCACCTTTTGTGCAGCCATGATCTTCTGGCGCTCGGCGATCAAGTAGCACTTCTTGCAGGTGCACTGCTTCCAGCGGCACTTGCCCGCGTGGCCCTTGACTGGTACCAGGAAGCCATGGTTCCGGCACCGCGAGCACTTGGGGGTACGAAGCATCTTGTCGGCCTGCTTGGTACGGTCTGCCTTCATAGCACAACCACCTCCTCTGAAAGCTTCAGGGACAGTGAAGCAGAGAGAAGCAGTTCCCCCCAAGTCCCTGGTGCTGGGGACTTTGGATACACTTGTAACAAGGCGGCGTTCAGTGCGTCCCAGGAGCTGCAGCACGACCCTTGCATTCTCTTTTTTTGGTGCAAAGTTTGGAGAGGTTTTGTGCCTTGGTTGCAAAGATGCAAAGGATTGGGTTGAATAAGTTCTTCAAGTAATGCTATTGCATGTATGTCATCTGGGTTAGCTGCAGTCTTAGGCATTTAATTTCCAAACTTTCTCTTCCCGCCATATCGTATACAGAAGGAATTTCGTAATTTCAAAAAAAAAAAAAAAAAGCGAAGTGATACTCAAGGATCCACAAAGTTTAAACTCCAGAGGAATGTAGCGGTTGGTAAACCTGTTGCAGTAGAAAAAGATTCTAAGTCTCAAACCGTGTTTCTCCATACAGAAGCTACTGCTTCTGCTTAATTTCACTTTTCTCTTATAGAGAAGCAACTGTTCACAGTAGATGCTTCCAGAATATTCTCAGGAGCTCAGTGCAGTGTGATGGTTGCTCAAGGGTGTGTCTTTAGAGTAATTTCCATTTTTTGAGTCTTGTTGGTATAGGGATGCATCTCTGGAAGTGGCATATTGCTGTTGATGTCTTCCAAAGAAAAGCATACTTGGAGTGATTAAAAGGGACTTAGGATACTTTAGCATGAGCTTGAACCAGTGCTTAATTGTGCCATGAACCTAATTATTCCTGTAAAGCAACCCAAATCTTAGGACACCTGCAAAGCTGCCACAACTTCATAGTTTTCCCAAGACTGCTAGGCCAATTCATTTTCTTGTTTGATAGAAATTTGTGACACCCTGAGGTCTCCGCCCCCCCCCCCCCCCGCCACCCCCTCACTTAGGTCCCAAAAAGAAAGAAAGAAAGGAGGAAAAAAAAAAAAACTTACCATTATAGAATTAATCATTATCTTTAAGGGGGTAATTATGGTTAATACCTGGCTAAAATGTGTGTTTTTAACTGTCCTTTCTTTGACGTTTTCTGTTTCTGGTAACAGAATGGTAGAAGTGAGAGCCAAGGCCTGGTGTCCACCTTGATCTTCCTGAGCCGCTGGTTGCAGGTGTACTTTGCATTTCTCACCATCTACCTGAAAATAGGAAATGGTTGCAATTCTGAGACTGATTATATACTGGAAAGCTGAACAGGTGCTTGTAAAGTTTTTTCCTGCTTTGAAGAAATATACTACTCATCTTAAGAGGGCATAAGTATATGTTTCCTGTATTATTTGACCCTTTAAGAATGTCACTGGTTATTTCAATCCATTTAAAGAGATCTAGGTTTGTCTCTATTTTGCTCTAACAGCCTGTATCTTAATTTTTGATTAAAAAAAAATATGGTCCCATAAATGAAAGCACAGACAAGTTCTTTTTCTGACTTCACTTAATTCAGAATGTCTAATTTTTTCACTGACTTTGTCATTTGAATATGTTACTTAAAAATCATAGTTTCAATACTACTGTCAAAAAACCTGGGTACAAACTGTATTCTTTCATGATACTGCAAATTATAAGATCATTTTCTGCATTATCAAATTTAAATTTTAACATCAGGTGACATCAGCTGATTAAGGCCTAAACATGAAAACTACTCTCATTTACATTTCATGCTTGACCACTCAAGATCTCTTCATTTACCTATTAATGATTTAAAGGAAAATCCTATTCAAGGACAACCATTTGAATTCATTTATTTTAGCCTCTTTAATGACAAAATGCTTCCATTTTTACTTATAACTTTGGGGCAAAATATACCCAAGGTGATGTGAATTTGCATACTACTTTGAGAATGTTAATAAACAGCCATAAATCTTTTAAATCTATAGTCATAAATGCAGAAACCCTAGGGTTTATATAGTAAACAAATAAGAAAAAAAGACTAGTTTATTTATCTCTTCCCCTCAAAGTCTCAATTTGTGTAGGTAAATTCCAACAGAGCTTTATTTATTTCATTCTTGGAAATTCAGGCAAATTGATAGTTTTGTTTTATTTGGGTTGATGGGTGGTTACTTCTTAGGCTGATGAATATATACATATATATGTGTAAAATTTATTTAAATTGTTATTTTAAAAGATAGTAATATGTAAAATTGAAAAGCTGGAAGTTGAAGAAGGATGAGAGCAGTAAATACATAGTAGACCCCTTCCTTCCCTACACTGAAACATTTGGATGTTTATGTTTAAGAAAGTCTACATCATCATAAGCAGAAGTTTATAAAATGACAAATTACAGTGCTGAGGAATCACCAGCTTTACTAACCACAAAGGGGCTGGTTGATGGTCATATCTGAGTCCCAGCTTTAGATACAGCTGCTTCTTCCACAGAGTCCCAAATTTCCTACCTTCAGTAATGGCTCTTCTCTTCAGTTAACATGATTGTAATTGATACTGTTTATTTTAAAGAGTCTTGTATTATGCTGTGCATGGGGGTATCACTTGTAATCATTAAATATTGTGTGCAATGTATTGTTTCCTCACTGGTAGCATTCAAGAGTAAGGAAGGGCTTTTTTGCCTATAGCATCTTCCCCCCAGTAGCTGTAACCCAGATATCTGCTGTCTTCTTCAGGCTCTCTCTCATGAGCAATTAAAATGTGATTGAAGATTTTGTAGGGGGTAGAGGGGAGGATTTACATGACATGTCCTATAGCAGATGCTTTAAAATCCTGTGTTAGTGTTTCTGTTCTCTCAAGATTCCCCTCTGCTGTGCCACACACACTGGAGAGGAACTGATCTGGTCCCTCTCCACCTTGCCCAACCTCCCCATCCCCATCTCACTACCCAGGCTCTCTAGCTTTTCTCTTCTTGATTTTTGAGAGTTCTGTAATGGCTGTGACTATCTTACTTCCCTTTATATATAGCACAATATAGACATTTAGTAAATATTTGTTGAATGTACAAATGAATCTTGCCTCCCTCTCCTGCCAATATCAAAGGCATCTCATTTCTCACTGACACAGTAAATTAACTTGGATCCAGCAACTTTCTCCAATATCATACAAAACAGAAAGCCCAGAGTGAATAAGATCCAACAGAGATGGTTGGATGGCATCATCAACTCAATGGACATGAGTTTGAGCAAACTCTGGGAGATAGTGAAAGACAGGGAAGTCTGGCATGCTACAGTCCATGGGGTCGCAAAGAGTCAGACAGGACTGAGTGATTGAACAAGAAGAAGAAGAATAAATAGGACCACTCTCCCAACAAGCAGAATTTGAGAATCAACTTTGCTTCCTCGAGATTACCTCTTATCCCTGATGGTATAATAACAGTAGTAATGCCAACTAGCACTTACTAAGTGTTTGTATGTGCCAGTAATTACAAACTCCTCTGCTGCTGCTGCTCAGTTGCTTCAGTCGAGTCTGACTCTGTGAGACCCACAGACGGCAGCCCACCAGGCCTCTGTCCCTGAGATTCTCCAAGCAAGAATACTGGAGTGGGTTGCCATTTCCTTCTCCAATGCATGAAAGTGAAAAATGAAAGTGAAGTTGCTCAGTCATGTCCGACTCTTCGAGACCCCATGGACTGCAGCCTACCAGGCTCCTCCATCCATGGGAATTTCCAGGCAAGAGTGCTGGAGTGGGTTGCCATTGCCTTCTCTGATAAACTCCTGTGTGTGTGTTAAGTCATATAATCCTCAAATCAACCCTCTAACGTAGGTACTATTATTCCCCGCCCTCTCCACCCCACATTTTACACATGATGAAACCAGTACCTAGAGAAGTTAGGTAACTTGCCCAAAGTTTTCTGCCATCAAGTGGAAGAGCCATGATTCAGAACCAGGAAATACATCCTCAGAGTCTTTGTTCTTAACCATATATCTACTAACTCAGTATTTCTTCTAAGCAAATGCAGTGCCATCCCCAAGAAAGCATTGGTGATTAATAGAAATGTTTGTCTTGTTACATATCCTATTACAGTTGGGGCAAAGGAGGGTAAATAAAGGTGGTGGTAACCTGGGGAAATTTCCTAGGATGCCCTGCTAATTTGCTTTTCTCTGTCCATAGCCAGTATTCATTCAGTGTCAACTATGTCCTAAGCATAAGGGACACAGAAGTAAATAAAAACACAGGATCCTTACTTTTAGGCATACATTCTAGCTGGCAAATAGACAGTAAACAAACAATTCCAGATGAAAGCTGAGTGGTGGGAAAGATGCTATGGGTCCTAATGTGGATCAATAAATCAAGGGAGACTTCCTTGAGGGGCTGATTCCTGAGGTAGGCCTAAAGGATATGTGGGAATTAGCCAGGTGCAGGGGAGGTGTATCCCAAACAGAATATCATGTTTAAGGCAGCATGGCTGTAGTACAGTGAGGCCAGGAGAGTGGAAAGAGGGGAGATGGAGAGGTTAAGCAGTAGCCATGTGAAGGGGGTCCTTTAAAGGAAACTGTAGTAGTCACTATTGAAATGGAGCATGACTCTGCAGGGCCCTCCTGGGTACAGAAGCCCTCTTTGTCTCCCTTTTCTTTTAAAGAAAAAAATAATTAGCCTCCTAGGCCTTCACTGTGTTCCAAAGAACAGATTCAATCAGTTACTAATTAGGAAAGGGAGGGAATGCAGAAACAAAGGAAAAGCAAGCAGTCAAGAAGTGATAGTTCAGCCATAAAACAGAGTCTTAGTTCCTCCTCAAGGGATATATATATATATAAAACAATCTGATGTGTATCTTTGAGTTGTTCTATAGGAACTGAAACAGACCCTCACCCGAGTAGAAGATGGCAACCGCATGCTGAGCAGGAGCACTAGATCCACACTGGGTGGAACCAGAAAGTTAATAAATAAGATTCTGAAACACCATCCTGTCACCTCACCACCAACCAATGAGAGGAAAGCCATCCCCCTGCAACCATCACTTCAAATGTTGCCTTCAAAAGCCCTTCCCTGAAAGCTATTGGGGAGTTCAGATATTTTGACCATGAACTGCCTGTACTCCT